CCTGAAACACTTATAACCTCCCAGATGGCAACAACTAGATCAAATAAATTATATAAAATGGGTAGGGGAAGCTCTCAAAAACAGGAGGGATGTTCCTGGACGCCAGTCTATAAAATGCCATTTTAATCAGCTTCCCTGAAGGCCGAAAGAGAGGGCAGGAAGTTCCATAATGTCGTGGTCACCACCGAGAAAGCCGGTTTCTGGATGTCATTTTTGAGGCCTCCCTCCGGATAGCCACCCTCAACAAAGAAGCCTGAGGTAAACAAGTCATCCAGATAGAAGAACTTAGGGGGAGAAACTCCAATAAACGATCCATTGCTCGTGTGCGTGTGTTTATATTATATTTTACTATGTTTTAACAATATTCTTATCTTATCGTCTGTCTAGTTATTTCTTTATGAGTGGAGTCTACAGGCCATTTTCCCGCCCCGAAGAAGATTCAAGGTCACTCATAGATGAGGCTGAACTTTAGGAAATACAGGGGTGCCTCTCGACTTACGAACGTCCAAACATATGATCATTTCGAGTTACGACCAGCTCTGGACGCAAAAGTTTGCTTCAACTTGCGACCGGAGCTTCGAGACCAGAAAAAGGCGGGGAATTCAAATCGCTAACCGTTGGTGGCGAAGAGGCTGCTTCCTTGTAGCTCTTTCGCCCCGGCGGTTAGAGAGTGTCGGATTGGAGGAGGCTTTGGACTGCCTGGTAAGGCGCTGCTTTCTACATTTTAAAAACTGTTCTGGGTGGGTTTTGCAGCGTGGGTTTGGGCTGGGTGGTGGGATTATGTTTCTATGCTGTGATGGGTCTCGCAGGGTTTGCTTGTTTTTTTGGGTTCTCCCCGCCATTTCTGAAAGGTCTTGCACAGTTTGCTTGCTTTTTGCTTTTCTTTTTCTTTTTTGCATGGTTTGTTTGCTTTTTGCTTTGCTTTTTTAAAAAACATTTCCGAAGGGTCTTGCATGGCTTGTTTGCTTTTTGCTTTGCTCTTTTTGCATTTCCGAAGAGTCTTGCACAGTTTGTTTGCTTTTCTTCCCCCCCCCCCCCTTTCAGCCGGAACGGATTAATCACGTTTCCGATGGGTCTTGCAGTGTTTTTTGTTTGTTTGTTTGTTTTTGGTGATTTTTTTTCCCTTCGGCCGGAACAGATTAATTGCATTTCATTGCATTCCTATGGGAAATGGTGCTTCGACTTAACAACCATTTCGAGCTATGACCAGCGTTCCAGAACCAATTAAGTTCGTAAGTCGAGGCATCACAGTAAATGGAGCTTGATCAACAGGAAGCTCTGCCTACCACATACAGATACGTGTGAGGTTCAGAAGTAACTTGCAGCAAAAAAAGAAAAATCAGTTACTTGTGATTAATTCCTTTCCTCAGCAGTTAAGGTATAACTAAGGCATTTTGCCTCTTTTTTGTAGCTTATTTCTAACTTCTAAGTTATTGGAAGCCCCTTTCCCCCAGAAAGACAGCCTATACATCAAATAAATAAATATATTTTACAGTTACCGGGGTAGCCTTATTAAAGGGGTGGAAGAGGAACTGACCCAGCTTGTGCAGTGCCTCACGCTGCTAAATTTAGACTTTAAATAAGTAAATAAATCAGCAAAGTACCAATTTAGTTGTTTTTAGTGATGTTTATTGGGAAGCTTTCATAACCTAAAACTTGACTGCTTCTAAGGTGTGGGGATTGTACTGGTAACTACTTCCTTTCTGAAAGTAACTTTCCGCACGCTGAACACTGGGACATGATGGAGCCATATCATGCTCTTCAGTGGGGCGAAACCCGTGAAATTACTTTTCTCCAAACGGAGGCTGGCAACCAAAGAAGTTGGCGATCCTCTCCGCCGTGAGACCTTCCTCGCCTGTCTAATTAAAATCACGACACACCCCAGGTCTGTAATACCTATTTACCAGTTCCCATGGAGGCTGAAGAAAACACAGCAAACTCCAATGAAGAAATATTCTCTCCCCCCCCCTTCCCAAATTTAACCAGGAAGACGAGCTGACAGATACGATCTGAAGAATCAAATATTTAAAGTTTAAACGTTGACATGCTAGGGGTTGCTTCCAGGCTCCCTGAAAGCCCAGGAGGACGATTTTACTTTTTACCTTCATACGGAGAAAAGCTTTTGCTGTGATTTTAAACTGCTAACGCCACCTCCCAGCCTCTACCGCCTGAGGCCCCTTGCCGTCCCTCACGGCAAAGCCGGGACCTTTTGGGCTAGTCTTTGGCCCTGGATCAATCCATTTCCCCCCAAACTCCATTTCCCCCCATTAAACACACAGTGAACAAGGCGAGGCAATGACACTCAATTCAATTTTTCTTTTTTTATCCCCTCTGTTTTTATTCCATTGATCCATACAAAAAAACAAACACACCCCACCTCTAGATCATGTTCGGATGAAGATCATCGGATGGGTTTGAGCGAATTCAGTCACAGGGTTTCCCCCAACGGGATTTATAGAGACCCACGGATGAGCAGGGAGGGACATGATGTTGTGGGGTGGTTAATCCGTGGGGAAGCTGACCCCCTGTGCTTAATGACTCAACACCCGTCTCTCTTTCTGCTCTCAAAGCCAAGAACGGCGAACAAGATCGAAATTCCAGGTTCTTGACTTCCTTTCTGCAGGAAGAAATGGAGCATGAAGGTCCGATCTTATAGCGACGGATGTCCCGGCCTCTCTGCGGAAAGTCGTGGACACAAAACTCAGCAGTGTCGGTCTCTGACCGCAGGTTGGGAGTTCAAATCCCCGCCTGTGCCTCTCTGACACGGTCTGGACCCGATTTCTAGCCCTTCAGTTTCAAGATTACAGTGGTGCCTCGTTAGACAGTTACCCCGCATGACAGTTTTTTTCGCTAGACATTGACTTTTTGCGATCGCTATAGCGATTCGCAAAACAGTGATTCCTACGGGGGAATTTCACCGGACAATGTTTGGTCCCTGCTTCGCAAACCGATTTTCGCTAGACGACATTTGCTTTTCGCTAGACAATGATTTCGCTAGACAGCGATTTCAGTGGAACGGATTATCATCGTCTAGCAAGGCAGACTTGGATGATTGTTATTCTATGTGGATCCTCCTGTTTCGACCTCCAGCGAGCCCTGGTGGGTCAAGAGCTAAGGAGAGGGCACTCGATCTTCCATGGATCCACCTGGATCCTTTTGACCGATCCAAGGAGCCTCTCTTCCTAACTGGATTGAATTTGGGCGTGTTGACCAAGAATAGAGGGCTTCCTTCAGCCATTCGAAGTCTGGATCTGGGAAGGAGACGTTGGGGGGATTTGGGGAGATGAGGTGGAGCCAGAAGGGGTTAAAAATCAACAGATTTAGGGGTCTGGGAATGGAACGTGGAGTTTAGGTTTTCAACAGGCATCGTCAGCACCTTGTGAATCAAACACGTGATTTTTTTCCATCTTTCTAGTTCACCTTGTGAGCTAGAAAGATGGGGGGAAAAATAACCAGGAGTGGACCCGAAGAAAGAGCAAAAATCGCAAGCAAAGAAATTGCAAATCCTTCCCAAACTAGAGAAACTGAGATTCATCTCACGATTTTCATTAAATATATGTATATTATTATTATTTGACAATACAAGCATCTGGAGAAGAACGGTTTGAGGTTTGGGGCATCTAGAAAAAGAAGGGAAACATTGTGCCGAGGAGGTTCTGGATCCGGATCCAGGCCATCACTGATCTAGAGTAGGAGGTTTGTGGCTATACCCTTTAAAAGGTTTTAGCGTCTAGAAGGTTGAGAAATCTAAAAGGAAACCGTTTGCCAAAAATGGCGCCTTGCTGCTCCAGAAATGATCTGCCAACACCTCTCGGATTTAGGGTTCTAGAGTTGAGTGGTCGGGAACCGGGACTGCAGGGTTCCAGAAAGGCTTGCTGTAGTGTTCTAGAGCAAACCTTAGGAGCAGGAGGAAAGGGAACCAGAAATGGAAAGACCCTTGACTTGAAGCAATGGAGATCAGCTCTAGATTTTGAGATTTCCAGGGCTGGAGGAAGAGGGAGAAGAATCTTCACAATATTAACACTGTATTGAAAATACATTGGCATCATGATTGACAGTCTCTTTTCTTGGTTTGTAAAGGCCTGGCGGTTCTGATCTTCCCCGGCGTTCGTTACTTCTTGCCTCCAGGGACCCGACAGCCCTTGGCCGCATCTCCCATGATATCCCAGTATTCCCCGAACTGTAATTTCGCCTCGTCGTTATCCCCGAGGCACTCGATTTTCTCCTCCAACATCACGGCGCCCTATGTGGAGGAAAGAGAGTGGTCCATAAGTGACAGAAGGAAAAGGCAAAAAAACATTTGAGAGCTGAGAAGTTTTGATTCACGGCTTGCGGAGGCCGGCAAACACGCTCCAGCTTTTGTTACGAACTTTGAAGGAGTGATGCAAAGCAGGATTCAGCACTTCTGAGGGTGCCGGTAAGTTTTGGACTTAAAACCACCCCACAGAATTGGAATCATGCCTGTCCCCCCCGTCTTCTGCCTCACAGAGGAGCCTTCATAAACTATGAAGAAGCTACAGGAGAAAGCGTTTGTTTAGGTTCAAAGCTTTGGAAAGCCTTCCCAGAAAAGATAGTTCTGAAGCCTCAACCCTCCATATCTCTCAGATTCCACAACTCGGGCTTGACCAGGTTTGGAGCTGAACTTCAAAACATCTGGAGGGCCAGATGTTTGAAAAAAGCGTTGGATCAAGGCCTCTTTCATTGTTTGCTCGGGGGCAAACTCCGAATTCTCTTTTCCATGCCACGAGCACCCAACGCGCCATGTTGGGACTCTGAAGGACCAACTCGAGAGTCGTCAAGTTCGGAGAAAAATGGGGCTACCCTCCAAAGAGGGAAGTCACTCAAGAGTCCTACACTTTTGATCCCCATCTTTAAAATCTAGGGTAGCGACGGAGGATTTTTTGGGGTCTTCGGCTGGTTTGGGCCACATCTCCTATAAGTTCTTGGCAGCCTGGCCCAGAATTAGAGATGATGGAGTTGACCCAACCCAACTAGAGACGTCAAGATGGCCTCTTTCTGGTTGAAAGGAAAACATGTGGGGTCTTTCTTCTGCTGATTTTTTTGACTTGGATGAGAAGCTGATCTGCCTTCCAGCATCATCCTTGCAGCATCATCCTTGGGTGGGATCCCCCCCCCCACCATCATGCTGTCATCCTTCTTCTTACCGTTGCTAAATGCGGCAGCCGCTGGCCCACCAGGTCTTTTAGCTCCCCAGGGGTAAGGCACTCCTTCCGGCCCTTCATGGCGTAGCAGTGGAAGTTGTTGATGAGGATTTCGATGGACCGCTCCACATTGGTCAGCTCTTGGCTTTCCTGCAGCCCAAGGAAAGCCCAGGAGAAAGAGAGAGAGAGGAGGAGAAAAAAGGTGGAGAAGGGAATGAGATGTGAGGCATCAACGAGGAGCGCAAGATCTCAAAGAAAGCCGTTCAACCAGCCTTACTCCCTCCTACACTATCACACCCTCCCTGAAACTCTGGCGACCAGCCTTAGAAACACCTAGGATTGCATTCCAGCTCATGATGAGCCATCTCGAGATGATATCCTTTTGACTCGCGATCCGTTCTCAGCCCTAAGCAAGATAGGCTCAAAACATTCCGCTTCCACACCAGATTATTTAACCGGTTTGTGAAGACCATCCTCTTCCTCCTCATCCTTTCTCGAAAGGTCTATCTGGATCAGCTCTGAACTTCTTCCAGAACCTCTTTGATGTCCACCTCCTTCTCTAGGTCCCTATCACTCTACGATGGAGGGATCCCTTCTGAGTAAGCTGTCTTCCAATACGTTAGAAGACCCCAAGGGTGGTTCCTCTATAGTTTGGTCAACTTCTAAATCATTTTTAGACTCATTTTGACCTCAGAAGCTTCATTCCATGCCTGATCGTGTCCCGAGGAGAGAGCCTTTGACATTTCTTTCAAATTAAAAACACCGATCGGTGCTCTAGTCATCTCTGCCAACCAGCCCGACCGATGGCAAGGATCCTGCCCCCTCAATCCGGGGGCTAGCCGATGATGGCCGTTGTTGTACAAAGTGAGCAGAAAAGGGGCTAAGTCGGACTAGATAAGAGTCTGATCCAGCAAAAGGGAGATGAGGAGCCTGTGCACCTCCCTGCATGGGCCATGTTTGAGGATGATGGGGGTTGTAGCCCAGTCAAGTCCTGAAGGCAGTAAGAGAATCAAAAGAGGATGATAAGCCCCAGAGAGCTATCTTCAAAGATGGATTCTGGAAATCCACATAGGTTTCTTATGTCTTGTCCGCTGTTTCATCTTCAAAGAAGTTATCAGAATTCCTTGCACTCTTTAAGCAGATGGTAACACAGGGGCTATTAAACCTACTGCCTTGATTCAAAATTTGTAGTTTTTTTAACATTCAAAATATAAAAATCAAGGAAGGAAAGCTTAAATCCTTGATGGTGATGAAATACAAATGGACAGCGTTGTCTTCAAAAGATCTGACGAGCACTGACACCCAGTATTTTTTGGTTCCTTAGTTGAAAGTATGTCCATTCTATTCTACAAGTTTTTTCAGTTCGTATAAGGAATGTCAGTCTTCTTTTTTTTAAAAAAAATTAAAATCCCTTCTAAAGCTGTTAAGCTTATTCCTGTAGATGAAATCCCATTGATTTCCCCGAAGCTGGCAGAGAGATCACCAAGCATAGGAGTCGGTTGGGCACTGGAACGGCAAAACCAGAACATGAAAATGTTTTCTTAAAAAAAACCCAAAGAGACCATATCGCAAACATGGCGATTTCCATATTTGAATGGGAAGCTGGTTTCTGCAAAATTCTGTATTTAGTTGAGACCCATCCGTCTGTCTGTCTTTTCTAGCTACGCTCAGTGAGTTTAAGCGCAACTCTTCAATCGCCAAGTCCAAAATGGGGCTAACTTGGATACAGGACAAATTTTCTGGGACTGCGGAGAAATTCAATCCATGCGGCGCTTCCAAACGTGCAGTTTATGCTTCTCTGTGTGTACAAAAGAAGATCTAGCAAACGGCCAGGAGAATGTTGTTGAAGCAGCTTGCTTCCGTTCAAAAATAGTCTTAATTTGACATTTTGATCTGGTTTTGATTTTACCTATATTTCATAAAGGTCCATACTGCTAAATTGTGCAATGCTCTGTTATGTAGATAGAAAGATCTACGACCAGAAGGGACAACCTGTTTGAAAATCAAGGAAACACAGGTGGCTGGTTATTCACCTGGGCGAACTTTATTCCACCTGGTCCGTTCAACCTGATATATTTAAAATTTGCTTGAGGACCACCTACAGTGTCTATGACAGAAGCAGCTTCGCTCATATTATCTGGGTCCCCTTGTGTGTGTTCTACACAGCTGGGGTGGGACGGGACCTGAATGGTGGACCATCTGGGAAGCATGGGAGTTGTAGTAAAAGCCCCCTCTGTGTCTTCAATCTGGGCCCTCTTGTTTCCCCTGATCATTGGCTGTCCTCCGAAGCCAAGAGCATCACACTTGACGGCGAAGATCCTCCGACAACACCCTCATCTTGGCAACCTTCTCAGCTTCATCTTGGCCCGGATCCCCACCTCCCACCCCCACTCTACACCACACGTAAACCGCTCTCGCTGGGCTATTGCTAGCTCAAGCAGGTCGGTGCCTCGGTGGCAGGAAGCCCTTCCAAAGGCGCCAATAACATTATTAAGGCGCGAGTCAAACGTTTAGATAGCCTGTATGCGAGGCTTCTGGAGGACTAGGAAGAACTGGTTTGGTCTGGCAGACTGGTTTCTGGCGTTTCGTCAGGGGAAGCCTGTTGCTCAAGGCCAGCCATCTGCCGGCGGCGCGCTGGAATTTTAAGCAGGAGTAAATTTTGGAAGGACCGATGTCATCTTCCGAGCCCCTGATAGCAACCATGAAAACAGAGTCACTCGGGAGAGCCGGTCTTTTGTAAATCAAACGGCTCCTAGTTGCCCACTCAAGACCCAACCACCCTCCAATCCTAGGTATAATCACAGGGATCGCTTGAGACTGCAGGTTGTCCTGTTTTAATCCCGGCTGGGGCAAGGGTCGCAGCCGAGTTTGGGAGAAAGGACGAAGGCCCAAGGTGGAGGAGGATGCTGGACCCACCTGGCCTCCTTAGAAGCGCTCGCCCTTTGACCCTTTGAACGCTGGCTCTGCTCCACCATCAGCCGCAAGGGAGAAAAGACCTGGAATTGTTCAAAAACATCCAGTGTCCGATGCCACAAAAAGACCGAGCCATTTTGAGGGAGGGGGGTGCGTGCGATCACCCAGCCCCTCTCAAACATGGAGTGGGTTCTCTTAAATACACAGAAAACCATCACCACTGTTAAGATGTTGAGTCCTCGGGCAAGCCCAAAGCAGCATCCTCAACCCACTCCTCCCTATAGCAATAGGCATCATCCCTCCGTTCCAGGATGGCTTACTCCTGCATCTCTCTCTCTCTCTCTCTCCCTTCCCCAGAAAATCGGAAGATCTGTTCAAATGACCTTTCTCCTCTTGCAGCATCTGCACCCCATTTCCCTCGGTGCGACTGGATCCTATACGCTGGCAGAATTTCCTCTCGAAGTCCCACGGCTTGGTCCCTCGAGGTCCACGCGAGACGTCCCACGGGCCGACTCAGAAGCTGGCAACGGGGTCGATCCTAAGGCAAGCAAGAGAGACGAGAAACGGACCGGTTTTAGATTCGAAACCCACTTCTGAATCCTTGGAGTTTTCTCTCTTTCTCTCGCCCACACGCCTTCCTCGGCTCCGGCTGGGAGTTTCGGAGAGCGAACATCTGGAATTTGCCCGAACTTGTCCAAGTAATGGAGCTGGAGAAGAACAGGGTGGGGCCGGCGCCCCGGAAGGATCTCAAGAAAACTCCATGTCCCACATGCCCCACCACTGTCGACAAGGACCCCCTCCGCCCGCCCGTGGAGGCCACGGATCGTGCCCTGAAAGGGGAAAGCCAACTTACCTGCAAGGTGGATTCCGGTGTGCTGATGAGCGCCGTGTTTCCTGCCCCTGTTTTATATCCCAAGGAGGTGTGCGTGTGTGTGTGAGACACTTGTGGGAGATACCAAAGAGGGTTGCGACGGTGGCGCAAGGTGTCTCCTTGCGTCGCTTGGCGCCCGGCCAACCCGGCGCGCTCCAGCACCGCCCTTTCCTTCGTTTTTAAAGTCCTGAAGGATGAGCCACGAGAAAGGCTGGCGCCGAAGCCATTCCTTCCACAGAGTCCCGGCTCTTACGGGTCAAGAGTTCCTTATCCCATGTTCCACAGATAGGGAGCATGGCTCGGTCGTCCTGCCCTGAGGAGCGGGCCGCGGCTTTGTGCAGTGGCTAGAGCCAGGCGCCCCTGAGCTGAGCATGGAGGAAATGGGGTACCCCTCATGGTTTTACCCCCCTTAGTATTATTTTGGATTTTCGGGGGGTCGGTTGGACCCGATGGCGTTATGGGGACCCACTTCCAACCCCATTATTCTATGATTGTTTCTTTAAAGTGTGTTTATGGCACATTTTGAGAATCAGGCGCACGAAGCCTGATCTTGTGAGGCTGGACAACTTTTGTGAAAGTTTTGTGTGGATAAAGGAGTCAGTGCTTCGGTGCCTGGGGGTTCTGTCTCTCTCTCACACACACACACGGCGCTTGAGATCCGGGCTTATGCTGGCCCGGGCACCCCGCCTGTTGCCATGGCCACCCCGTAACAGCAGCCACACCTCTGCGGCCCACATTCCAGAACGCATTCCTCCCTGCTCCCAAAATCGGCCTCCTCCTGTCCTTGAGATGCTCCATTTCCGGCTGCGAAGCGAGAGAGACGAGGCTGTCATTCCTGGGCCAGGTGCTGACCTAAAGCTCCCTGTGGCTCGTTACTACTGGTCGTACTGGTCCTGTTACGAGCGCCTCCTCAGAGGTAGCGACAACTTTACGACTCACACGAGGCGTGTTCGGTTCCAAGCCACCTGTCTAAAGGCGGTGGGGAACGCTCTTGAGGAACAGCCCGAATATGAGAGGAAGTGAAATAATGCCGGTGTCGACTCAAATGCATTGGGATAAATCACTGGGAATTAAGAAGTGCGTTCTTGCAGTCAATATAGAGGCCTTTCTAGCTGCTATTCAAATGCACTCATGCAAAGATGCAAACATGAAAATCCTCAAACGTCAAAGAAGTGAACGTAGAACTAGGCTAGCTAAAGGATCTTCTGTTTAACTAATAATATTATAATATCTTAGAGGTCCAGAGCTAGAGGGGAGCCTATAAATCATCAAGTCTAATGTACTTGTTCTACATGTATTTTCCCACACCGGCCGCACAATCTTCCAGCTTCCTTGCATAGCTCAATATCTTTCCCCATAACTGGACGTGCTTTTTTGTGTCTCTTGAAAGTGTGGTGTTTTTTTGGGGGGGAGGTCTGTCTGTCTATGAAGTTTAGCGCTTAAAAATACAGTGGCAACATGATTTGGATGAAGAAGTAATAGGAGAAGAATGGGATAAAATGTGGGACCAAAGAATTATGAAGAACATGTCTGTAAGGATAAAGGGGAAATGTCATAAGGTAACATGGAGGTGGTATTTAACGCAGGTGAAACTGAATATAATAAATAAACATGTATCATCAGTATTCTGGAGGTGCAAAAAAGAGAAGGGGACGTATATACATAGGTGGTGGTTATGTGAAGTAAGAAAGCAAGAACGGAAGCAAATTTTGAAAGAAATAAGGGAAATAACTGGATTAAATATTCTAACCTCCCCGTCAATGGTTTTATTGAATTTGGTCAAGAAGGATCAATTGTTGAAAGAAAATAAGGACTTAATAGTAATAATGGTTACGGCAGCAAGGTTAATTTTTGCAAGAAACTGGAAAAAAGGATAACCAACTCAATTTAGAGGAATGGAGAACTATGGGATATGGCAATTAATGATAAACTGACATGTGATGTGAAAATAAGAGGCCTCTCAAAAAATAATGATTTTAAGAAAATATGGAGTGTATTCTTGGAATATGTATTTCGGAGAGGGAAGGGGTCTACACCGAGGGAAGAAACAATGAAATTTTGGAGAGAAAATGGACTGAATGAATTTTTAAAATATTATTAATGCTAGCCGTGAGGGTGATGGTGACACTGGTGTATTATGTAATTGTATTTTATTGTGGTGTTAGGTTTATGTTGCTTAGGTCAGATGTTTGTTTAATAAAATAATATAAAAAAAGAAGTTTAGCGCTATTGTGCGTGTCAACAGCTTGAGCGCTGTGCCACTTTCTACGGAAGCTAAAGCACCAACGTCCACAGTTTTCCGTTTCTCGCCAAACAAGCAAAAGAGAAGCTCCGGCAGGGAAGCGGATTTCCAAAAAATCAAAGCCGAATTTAAATGTTTAAAAATCAGAAATTAAAATTAAATTTAAACACTTGAGAAAAAGAGATTTTCTAAGAGAAGGAGCTTTTTTTTTAAGAAGAGACGCGGCGTTTCAATGGGATTTTAGGATGCCAATTCTTGATATACTCCATGTTCCTTTCTGACGAAGCGAGAGAAAAGGGGACAGAAATATATGTGTTTATTTTGTATCTTTTTCTAAGCCACCTTTCTGGGGAACCTCAGGCAGTTCACGACGAATCTTGTCTTGGTCTGGAGGAAGCCCAAGTTATTTCAACATCCGAGGCACGATATCTTACAAATGTGTCACTGCTTTCTGACTGTATGTGTGTCATTAAATAAGCAATTTGTTGCTGGCTTTCTTCAACACACTCAAATTTGTCACCTGGGGGGGAATGCCTCACTCTACCTAACGAGGAGGCCGGCCACACTAGGGGGGAAATCGTCATTTGCCCCTTCCCGAATTAAAATCGTTCACGTTTCAGTGGTTTGCCGTCCCGAAATGTGGAGAAAATTGGAGACATTGGGTAGATGCTTTAGAAAGAAACAAAAATGGAAATATGAAGGGGGAAAAATAGATAAAAGTAGGTGGACTTTCCAGCACCTTGGAGAGGTCAACGGGAGGGAGGGAAGAGGAGCATAGACCAGTGGTTTTGTCAACCTTGGGTGCTCATGGGGGTCTTGGACTACAACTCCCAGAAGCCTTCACCATGAGCCAGGGTTTCTGGGAGTTGTTGTCCAAGAACCTCTAGGTTGCCCAAGGTTGGGAACCACTAGCCATTGTCCGGGAGCAGGAGGGAGAAGCCAGTTTGTTCAGGACCACGGAGAGCTCCCGAAGGCTGCTGCAAGACCTCATTGGTGGAAAGGTGCTCCCCCTCGTGCGGTCTGGGCCAATCAAATAATCGGTGGCTCACAAGCCCCTCCCCCTATTTCTCATGTTGGTTCAGAGTAGAGTTGCCCCTTAGGGGAGATGATGGAGGGCTCATCATCATCTTTCATGTGGAGGAGGGTAACCCACAGATGGAAAGGGGTCAGCAAAGAAGTCGGCCATACTAGAGCCGATGGTGGGTGGGGGTGGGATGGTTTGGTGGGGATCCAGGTTCGCAACCCTAAAGAGCCATGAAACTCTCCTGGTCTGGCCCGCCTCACAGGGTCGTCGTGTGAGGACAAAAGGGCAGGCAGATGGAAAGCTGTATATCCCACCTTAGCCTCCTTGGGAGAAAAGCGAGTGATAAATATAAGAAGGGAATAATTTGAATTTTATGGGTTTATCTAGTTATCGGTTTTGAGAATGGGCTGGAGCGCTCAGTGGTTTCGGTCTCTGGCTGCGGAGGCCGAGGTTGGGAGATCGGTTTTCCCCACTGGGTGTCCTTGACTGGGGTTGGACTGGATGATCTATAGGGTCCCTTCTAGCTCTGCCGTTCTAAGAGGGTTACTTCTCTCCTGCCTAGCAAACACATAACAAGAAACTCTCCCTTGGAGAAAAATTATTTTAATTTGAAATTTGCGACCTGAGGACAGATTGATTTCTCCTTCATCATCCTCTGTGGCTCCCGGTCCATGCCCTTCTCTCCCTCCACCAAACCCTCCCTCACCCCTATGCTGGTCACTTCTTTTTCCCGACCTTCTCCCTCTTGATTTCTTTGGCCAGTTCCCCGATGAGCCTCCAGTACTCTCCGAATTTCAGCTCCTGGTCGTTGTTGACGTCCAGGCTCCGCATCTTCTCGTCTAGATCCCCGACGTCCTGGAGGAAAAAAAGGGGGCAGAGAGGAGAGGATCAGTTAGAGGGGATCGAGAGAAGAAGGGTGGCCACGAACCTCCTTGGACAGGAGCAATCTAGCTTTTTTTGGTACTGGCATAAAGGGCCGAGAGGACTGCTTCCACGTACGGGCTGGTGAGAAAAATAATAATGGGACTTGGAAGGATGTTTTTTCCTGTCATCCGGTAGTCTCGTATCCATCCGAAAAATGAGGCAGTTAAATAGGAGTGTCGGAATGGAAGGTTTGTGCCGATCTAGAGCAAAGATTTAGGACTTCAACCCTAACACGCATCAAAACCTAAAATATTTGGAAATTCTTTATTTATCAGGGAAAATAGACAAGCTGAGGGGCTGGAATGGAGGGATACATGGTAGAGATTTATGGAGCTGAAATTATAAGTTTGGAATTGCATTAAAATTGTGCTGCCAGCTAGCCGGTCAGGCCCTGCTCGGGCATCCTCCGTTCTTTTGCACGCCAATCTGGTTTTTCTTTATTATTTTATATTTTTTGTTTTATTTATAGGCCGCCTATCTCCCAGTCAGGGGACCCAAGGCGCCTCAGAAGATTCAAAAGAACGGAATTAAAAGCATCATAAGCTAAACCTTAAAAAGCAATGAAACTACACGTGAATTGGACGAAAACTGAGTAATCAGAAGCAAGCAAATGTTAAAAACTATCTTTACTCAGCCTTTTTTCTTTCTCCCTTTCAGGGGTCAGTCGGCGCTCTCTGGTTGCTGAGCAGACTTAGATCTTACGAGGCTATATTATCTGAGGTTTGCTTTTCTTAAAAATAGAGAGTGAAGGTGCGTCCTTTAAAAATTATTATTATGTTTGCAAACCTTAGTGTGTATCTCTTCTATTTGAGCCCGGGGTGGCAGTGGGTTGAGGACCGGGGGAGCTGGACAGAGAGCGGACCTCCCCCAGCCTTTCGGATCCAGCAGACTACAAAGCCCATCACGCCCAGCTGGTGCCTGTTGGGGGTGATGGGGGTAAACCTTGGCGTGTATCTCTATTATTTGAGCCCGGGCGGCAGTGTGTTGAGGACCGGGGGAGTTGGACAGACAGCGGACCTCCGGATCCAGCAGACTACAAAGCCCATCACACCCAGCTGGTGCCTGTTGGGGGTGATGGGGCTTGTAGTCCAAAGGGCCTGGAAGCTGGGGGAACCCTGAAATATAGGGGGGGGTGGTGGAATAAGAACAAAGATAGGAATAATATCATCATCATCTTAGAACCCAGAAGGGACCTTATAGATCATCATGTCCAGTCCACGTCAAGGAAGGCTGTTTTGGAGAAAGTACGGTCTAATTCCCTTCTGCCATTTGCTGTTGCCAGAAAGGAAGGAAGGAAGGATTTTCTAAGGAGTCAGCCCGGGAGAAATATCCCTGCTCCCTTTCATCCTGACAGGCTAGATTTCATAGCGAGGGGATTTTGAGGGCCAGGGAGAAGGTTCCGTCATAGACGTCGCCTCCTTTCCCATTGGAAATGGTTCTGTTGGCGTCAAGTGGCTTCTGCCTTATGGGGATCTTATTTTGTGGTGTTATTTTGGCCGCTCTTCCTGACAGTGGTGGGGTTGGGATCAGAAAACCGGCCTCGGGGGTCCTTCTCTAGAAGAGAAGGCTGGATCTCTTACTGGACTACAAAACCCAGCACCCCTTTGGGTCGGACTACAGCTCTCAAATGCTACTGCCCCCCCCGACTTCAGTTTGAGGAAGAGTTTCCCCCGTAAGCTTCCCGAGGAAAGGCCTCGACGTATAGCGCCTGGCCAAGGGGGTTGTGACTGGGGCTGATAGGCTTTGTAGTCCAGCCCGAGGAAGAAAGGCTAGGTCAACGTTCTCTTGAGTTGACGTCTCTTTGGGCCCCATCGGCTTGCCCACCTTCATGAGGTTCGGCAGCTGCAACGTCACAAGCTCCTTGAATTCGCCGGTCGTCAGGGTCCCCTTTTTCCCCTCGCGGGCGGCGTACGTGAAGAAGATCTGGACGATTTTCTCAATGGCCGTCTCCAGCTCGGTCAGCTCCACGGTAGCCATGTTGCGTTGCGTGAGGGGTGGGTTTTATTATTTGTTTTACACCCTTCTTCTCCTTTCGAGTCTGCCAAGCCTGAGGCGTCTCCTGAGGCGTCAGATGGGCGCTGAGGACAGAAAAAGAGAGGTGAAACCTATCAGAATAGCGTCCAGGACAGTTCCTCGTTTTTTGGACTCCGACTCCCAGAATCCCCGATCCAGCCTGGCCAAGCTCTGAAACAGGAAGAAGCAAGAGGCAAATGAAGCATTGAGAGGCATGTATTTCTCTATTTAAAATTACTTTACCTTGCGGCAGAAGGCGTCCGCTTACAAGCCAGAGCTCAAAAAGTTACTTCTACAAGTAATTAGTTACCGTTGTTATTGCCATCGCCCCACTCCCAAAATAGCTAGTTAATAGATAATGCTTCTTTGCCATTTAATTAAGCTGTTCTAAAAATGGTATCAAAAGTTACAGTTATGTTGGGAAAGAGGAGAAATTTATGTCTCAAGTTACAGTTGTAAGGTGATGCACTTATAGTTTTGTTATTGGAGAGAAAAGGCATTATTGGTGAGTAACTAGTTAGCTATATTGAACTTGCAAGTAATTAATTCCTTTTTGCGCCAAGGCTGTGATCCATGTATCGGTAAATATAATGTTCGAAAACATATCTTATTTATGGGCACTGCTTCCGTTATTTAGTGCCTCCGTTAGGCAGAAATTTGGCCCTAAACATTGACATTTGGAGAAATTAAAAATGAGAATGCGTCTCGGAGCATTTTATTTCAAAACCAGGTTGCAACCTGCGTGGAACCAGGGCGTGAAAAACTTCAATTATGACACAGGGGGAAAAAGTAACTCAGAAATGGGCAGAACTGGTCTGTTCTTGATCTGCCCCCTTCGGAGAGGACCGTCCGTGACGTTAGATGAGCCTCTTGGTTCAGTGGCAGTCTACCTCTGAGAAGGCGCTCTTCAGAACGTGGCCAAAAAGAAGCAGGGATGGTCTGAGGCAATGGCTGGGTAACCTTCCAGGGAGATCTTGTGAGTCACGTCAGAGAGGAAAAAAATCCCGCCTGACGTCTTCAAATAGTTTGTCTTAATTGGAGGGTTTCAATAGTTTTACTGTTTTTGCTGGTACCTGTTTGCCAAGTCCGGCAGGGTGTTGGTTTTTTATTTTTTTAGGGGGAAAGAAGGATGGAAATAGACGGAAGGGTTCCAACAGGGGGGAAAAAGCCACATATAGGTCAGCAAAACCTGCGACTTTCTTCTCCCCCCTCTAAGAGCTAAATTCTGACTGCATGCATTTCAGTAAGAGCGCTTCCCCCCCCTGGCCAGCTTCCCCCCCCCCCAGTTTTTATCTGTGCCAACACAGATAAAAACTTCTCTCTCTCGTCCGCCGTGCCACGCTAAGCTAACGGTCCCCGTCCGCGTTCCCTCGCTTCTCTGTTCAGCGTCGACCTGAAAAGGTAGACCAAGCAGAGAGAAAAGAAGAGAAAAAAGGATTGAAAAAAGAAAAAGGGGTTTCAGGGGTACGTGCAGGATTAGACCCCCCCAGAACCCCAAAACCCCAGCCCCTGTGTCCCATCCATTACACCACAAGAGAGAGAGTTGGTTGGATAGCAAGGTTTCCATCTGATAATACTAGATAACTTGATGGTTCTTTCCTAAGCTTGGTGACTCAGAAACAAATACCTCTTTAATTCAGGGCTCTGCTCTGCAAACAAAATTAAGCAGGGCTCGTTATGGGTTAAATTGCAATGGTCCTCACACTCCTTCTGGATGAAATCCACCCAGTACTTATAGACAGGACCCCTTTCCCCCCTTCCCAAAGATTTCCTGGCTCTGAAGAGTTCAGATTTTTACCTGGCTGCTTATTTCCTTGATCCCTTTTTTCACCCTCCCTGAAAACAGTGGAGGAAGAAAAAAAACACCCAGTTTTTCACCCCCTCTGGCAGAATCCAGCGGTGGCGCACATCTGGCAGCAAGCCCCCCCCCTGCCCACCGGCCACTTACCCCCGCCGTGGTCTCCCTGCAGAGAAAACTGGCCGGCTAGAAGCGTGGAGGGGCTTTTTATACCACTCTTAGGTTGCCAGGATCTGTGGCACAAAGGGGGGGGGGGTTGGATCCGTGCTCCACGAGCGGAGACAGCATTAACGGTGTTTGGTTTCTTTTTCCAGAGGCGAACACCGCCCACACCCATCTCGCAGGCTCATCCCACATCCCCACAACCTCTGCCCAGCTTGCAGGACTATTCCCCCCCCCCTCTGGTGGCTCACCCTGTTCAAAAAAAAAAAAATTGCAATATTTTTCCAGCCCTTTGACCAGCTGCTTTTTCCACAAGCACCGTTTTTATTTTTAATTATTTTTTTTATTTTTTGCAAGGTGGAAGGAATCCGGCCCACATGGGCAGAAAGCCAAACACTGCTGGGTGGGCGTTGGGGGGCGCGCAAGAAGACAAGGCGGACATTTGTGCCGGGGGAAAACTTTTGCTCCGAGAGTTTTGCCATGAGTTGACGAGATGGGAGCCCTCCAGGAAAATCCGTTTCGCCGGGAGAGGGCGGGATCTGGCCAAAACATTGAGGAAAAAAACAACAATCCATGACTAGTCACTTTTCAGATTGGTAAACAGGGAGAGGGAGGGGGAGAGGGAGAGAGAGAAAGAAGAAAAACCACATTTCTTCGATTTTTATTATCTTTGTTGCAAAACTAAACAGGTTGTCTCACTGTGCTTTTCGTCCCAGTGAGCTTAGTTTTGGAGTAGGTCAGCCAGAAAAGAGCGTGTTGCGTTGGTAACAACCAGAAATCTGGAAGTTGTGAGTTACAGCAATGGTGTTACCAAACAAATCCCTATTCTTTCTTTCTTTCTTGAGAAAAGAGGCGCCCAGGAATTTTAACAAGCTTTGTTGTTGGGGTTTGACCCCACGGTAACGGAAAGGGTGGGAGTCACGATAGAGAACCGCAGCTCATCAATGGCGTTGAGGGTTTGCATGGCGGGTGGTGTGCCCAGCCTCGTGTCTAGCAGTGACCGGGCACAGAACCAGTAACTCATGCATGAACTACAAAATCCATTGGGTTTCTCATTAATTTGAACGCATGGCTCCCAGAAGCATCACCGTTGATGCGTTTTGTAGCAGAGGTCTTGAATGTCAGGGCAGGGGGCATTCGGTCTCAGCTATGGTTCGTTTTTGGGTGGGGGGCATCTTTCACTCTCAGAAGCAAAAAAAATTAGCTATGGAAATATACTCCTGTTATACCTAAAAGTGTATTCCAGCAATTAAAATTTAAAACAGGGCCGGCAGGTTTTTGGAAGGGTAGAAAAATAAGTCACCCAGTTTTAGCGGGATAGGGGGTTGGCTACCTGGGGACCCCAAAGGGCCAGAGCAGGATATCCCATTTTAAATCCCATGAAGGATACATTACAATTCCACCAAGGAAATATACATATGATGGCACTAAACATATCTTTATTTAAGCCAGAGACGTACCTGTGCAGAAACAACATACTAAAGCACAGAGGCTCGTGGCAACAGCTGAAGGATAATTTTAAGGGGGGGATTACCATGGCATTTTGCATTTTCTCCCCAAGAGCAGGAGCGGCCGTTTTTCAAATCGGATTGAAACCCGTTGTCGTCATTGTTGGGCGAAGGGATTACAAGCTTAGAGACCCAAAGCAAGGGAAAGCGACACCGTTGTGATCGAGATTCGAGGACATGAAAAATAAATGAGGATTGGGGGAAAGAGGAAAGGATGGGTTTAAGGGCATTATCCACTCCGCTCCGCTCTGGCTTTGCAGAGTTATACATAATGGAAGGATAATTGGTTTTGCATCCAGGCTTAAAGGCCAAAGCGGAGCGGACAATGGATCGGTCAACTGTGTCCTTCCGTCCTTATTTCTCTTTGTGACGTGGAATTGTAAAACCCAACTCTAATCCTCTCGGGGAGACCCATGGCTTCGATGTCTGTCGGGGAGGGGGCAGTTGGCCTGTGCTGGGTTTTTGTCCGAACTTTAAAGAGCTCTCTCCAATTGAAAGCTGTTTCCCTCCAAATTTTTGAACAACAGCTTTCTAAATTCCCGCTCCTTGGCCGTGTTCACAGGGGGGCGGGCTGATGGGCTTTGGAGTCCCAAATATCAGCAGGGCTGGAGGTGAGGAAGTTAGCCCACCCCAACCTCGATGGGCCCATTGTCTAACTCAACACGAGGCGGTGACATAAATAGCCTGGGAAGCTATTTGACCACAATAATAGAAATAATGAGCTATGCTGTGTTTTGGATTCCCTCGGAGAGATAGAGGAGGAACGCAGAAGGACAGGCTGGACCGGAATTACGGGTAAGATTCTTCTGTGCACAGAAAGGCAGAAAATATCCCGCAGAAATATATGGGGTTTTGACTTGAAAAAGTCACAGATGCCGGGGAAGGGAGGATGCGTTGTGCATGTTTATGGCAGGCCACATCGAAACATGCATCGTTGAATAACATTGCTCAGCACTGAGCCGTTTGCACGCTGCTTCAGTTACAGTTTGGACTACAACATCCAGTATGCACCACCACACTGAGGGGCAAAGACTGGGGTTTGCATCATGAGGATTATTTGTTATTTCAGATGTGTAACTTTTTTTTGGAGTGGATTTTGGTGGTCTCTGCTTTTTCCTACTTTGGGGGGGTGCACTTACTGTTCTTCAATGTCATGAGGAGCATGTTAATAACACTGACCCTCTTGCTCTAATCTGGCGGATGAATTTTTAAAAAATGTGCCGTCATCTCCCTGCCATTTAGAGTTGGTGGATTTCACTGACCAATTAAGCCAATTAAAAGCTTCCCGCCTTCCTTGGAATGAGGAGTCGGCGCCGAAGCCTTGCTGAAAATCATAGCCCGAAAATCCTCTTTACTACTCTCTCAGGCATGGCTGGGAGGGAAATGACCTTTGCACATGCTCAGAGGCCTCCTTGCCTGGATAATTCCCATTCCTGACCAGAGAGGAAAATCTGTGTGCGGTGTCAGAAGGTGGCCAGAAAAAGAGATTTAGGCATTTAGAATTAGAATTTTTTTGGACTGCCGATCCCCAGAGATGCCCACGTGGCACGGCCGACATGAAATTGCCTGTGGAACTACCATCATCTGGAAGAAAGAGTTCCAGACAAGTAACTTTTTCAAGTGCTGGAGAAAACTCCACCTTTTCTCACCTTTTTAAAATGTGTCCCTGTGTTTCCTTCCCAGTTGGACCCGTTTCTGGCAATCCACAGCAGCCCGTGGGTGACAATCGCTGTTGATTTTTTTAAAAAATGTATTCGTCCCTTCCGTTGTGGTTTGTAATCATAGCGGGAAAGCCGGCCCGGCTGGTTGTGTGCCCACACAAAAATGCCAACATTGCTTGTCCGTATGCTAATGCCATCTTCGACTCAACGACGTGAGGCCGGTTGAGCCCCATGCCATCACCGTGGGCGGTTAAAAGCGCTTCCGGCGCGAATTGGGTGAGGTGAAATCATTGTTATCTTTTCTCCTCATCCTCCTCCATCACCGTCTCTGGAGAAAACCTTCCTCGGTTGTTACAACTTGAGGTGGGACTCAGAACGTGAGTGGCCCTGAGTCACCCCAATGAATCACGCCCAACCAGATGGGATTGGGTGTGCCTGTCCCCGGGTAATACCTCAAACCGAACCAAGGGGGCGCCGGTGAGCTAAGTGGGGGAACCTCAACGGTTAAGGAATGGCAATTAGCTGCCCTGTTTCTGAACCCCGAGGAGTTTCGCCTACACACCCCAAGACGGAGAGGCCTGGAGCGCTTCGCATCTCAATTCCCTGACATCAGAAGGAAGCAGGGACGTGGATCCCCCATCTGCTGCATTTTGAAATCTTGGGGAATGTCAGACATTAGCCACAAGGATCAGGCCACATCCCGGCGTTATTTCAGGAATGCATGGCATGCTCCCATCAGCGCACGCTGTTGTCTTTGTGGCTCATAGTTTCTGATTAGCAGCACCATTAGGAAGATAGCTCTGTCCACGTCCGAAGTAAGAGCCGGCATGGCGTCACTGATAGAGCGCCGGACAGCGCTGATAGAGCGCTGGACAGCGCTGATAGAGCGCCGGACAGGACTTGGAAGACGTGGGTTCAGACGAGTTGTTTTATCAATTTGTTTGTTTCTTAATTTCCTGTATGCCTTTCCTCGCTTTCCTTTCCTCCACCTTTCATCTGCTAACAACAACCTGACAAGGTGGGACAGTTGGAAATTGTGTGTGCGAGAGAGACTTAAGATTTTCACAGATTCCAATGTGTCTTCTTGGATCTGTGGGGATTAGAACCAGCAACTCTTCAGTCTCCATGCCCTAACCATTATACCACACGGCCTCTCGCTTGTAGGGGGAAACAGACGAGCTATTATTTCAGTTCCACATGTCTTGACTAAGTTGCGGTAAAGTCTAGAGCACCAGAGGATATCCTCCCCTGAATATTTCACGCCTCACCTCCCATGAGACCCACCCAACGTGGATAAAGCATGATGGGAGTCGTTGTCCCAAACATCAGGAAGTTGTCTCTAGACCCATGGATTAAGCTGAAAGGGGCGCTACAGGGTGGGGACTGGGGAGAATTTCATTGCAGTCCTTTATTTTGGGAAGAAATTGTGGAAGTTTACAAAAATCCACGTTATTCGTGGAAAGAGTGCGCAAAAATTCGCAGAAGTTAGAAACGACAATGGCTTCACGTGTGGGTTGGAATGAACGGCCTCTCTTCCTGTAAAAAAACATTGCCTGCAGTGATAAAAAAAAGGCTCGCCACCCCATAGTTAAAGGATTATTCTAATACCTGAGACATCAGTTAAGCTGTTTTCCATTATTATGAATAGCTCACACCCCCCAAAAAAAAGTTACATTTCGGTATGCTTTTGGTGGGTGTGACTTTGGTCCACCCTGCATTTCACCAGCCTAGTTTCAGGATTAGCCAAGAGAGAGATTGGACTCCCTTCACGGCACCGAATCCTGACGAATTTCGGTCCCAAGCATTCGTAAAAGAGGGTTTGCACTCCACCCGAGTACCACCTAAATTTATGGCTCTCTGTCGGCTAGGGCTGAGCCTCTCGTCCCCAAACCAAATCGAGGTTGGTTTCTCCGAGACTCCTAGATCCGAGCAGATCCAAAACCTGTTTCAGTCTTAAAACTTTTAAGCAGGTGGGGGAGATCTTTGTAGGATGCTTGGCAGGATTCGCCTATAAAT